CAGTGTGCCCCTTTCTGGCGCTGGAATTCTGAGGCACAAAGCGGCTCATCTCTCACCTCGCCCAGGGGGCCATTTTCTCAGCCAGCGTGCGACTCAGACAGAAACCCGCACCTCCGGTAGCAAACCAGAACTCCACTTGTCTCTGGAAACATGGGGTGCAGAAAAAGGCTTTTTTCACGAAAGTGTGTGAGGGAGGGTTAGGGTGTGTGAGGAGGGAAACAGCAGCCAGTTTCACACCTGACCGTGCAGAATGCCCATGACCAATTAACCTCCCACAGCCAACTGGCTGAGACCTAAGACAATCCTACTCCGAGGACAGCGATTCCCATGGCCTCGATGGCTGCTAACTTGAAAAGAAATCCTAAGAACAAAGGGAATGAATATCCTCACTGTTACGTCTTCTCCTCTTTCTCTTTGAACGCTGGAGAGGAATGAATAGGACCCCCCTTGGAGGATAAGACGGCGTTTGCTACCTGACAGCCCTGGGGTTCTGTCCCGTGTACCAGCTACTGCATTTCACGGGGGCAGACTTCCGGCGCACTCGCCGGTCCATCTGGAGACCAAACCAGCTGGCTTTGTGTCACCCTTCTGCTAATTCCCCAGTGGCCCCCATTAACCGGGGCCTGCATCTTAATCAGGTCGACTGAAAGTGACACTCAGGCTTGGGGGGAAACTCAGGATGATGGGAGAACATTGTGGTGGGGGCCCGGCCACAGCAGTGCTGTCTTCTGATTTACTTGGAGATTCGACAATAAACACAACAGACGCAGAGTCAGAACCACTGTGTGTTTATTGTCGAATCTCCAAGTAAATCAGAAAATGACATAGCAAGTTACACTATATTGCCAAATGTTTTGGGACACCTCTCCAAATCATTGAATTCCGGTGTTCCAATCACTTCCGTAGCCACAGGTATATAAAATGAAGCACCTAGGCATGCAGACTGCTTCTACAAACATTTGCGAAAGAATGGGTCTCTCTCAGGAGCTCAGTGAATTCAAGCATGGTACCGTGACAGGATGCCACCTGTGCAATAAGTCCATTTGTGAAATTTCCTCACTACTAAATATTCCACAGTCAACTGTTAATGGTATTATAACAAAGATGGAAGTATTTGGGAATGATAGTAACTCAGCCACGAAGTGGTAGGCCAGGTAAAATCAGAGAGCGGGGACAAGGCATGCTGAGATGCACAGTGTGCATTAGTCGCCAACTGTCAGCAGAATCAATAGCTACAGACCTCCAAACTTTGTGTGGCCTTCAGATTAGCTCAAGAACAGTGGTAGAGAACCTCATGGAATGGGTTTCCATGGCCGAGCAGCTGCATCCAAGCCTTACATCACCAAGTGCAATGCAAAGCGTTGGATGGAGTGGTGTAAAGCCACCACCGCCACTGGACTCTAGAGCAGTGGAGACATGTTCTCTGGAGTGATGAATCAAGCTTCTCTGTCTGGCAATCCGATGGATGAGTCTGGGTTTGGCGGTTGCCAGGAGAACGGTACTGCATTGTGCCAAGTGTAATGTTTGGTGGAGGGGGGATTATGGTGTGGGGTTGTTTTTCAGGGGTTGGGCTTGGTCTCTTAGTTACAGTGAAAGGAATTATTAATGCTGCAGCTTTCAAAGCTATTTTGGACAATTTCATGCTCCCAACTTTGTGGGAACCGTTTGGGGATGGCCCCTTCCTGTTCCGACATGGCAGAGCATCGGTGAACAAAGCAAGGTCCATAAGGACATGGATGAGTGAGTCTGGTGTGGAGGAACTTGCCTGGCCTGCACAGACCCCTGACCTCAACCCGATAGAACACCTTTGGGATGAATTAGAGCGGAGACTGTGAGCCAGGCCTTCTCATCCAACATCACTGTCTGACCTCACAAATGCTCTCCTGGGAGAATGGTCAAAAATTCCCATAAACACACTCCTAAACCTTGTGGACAGCCTTCCCAGAAGAGTTGAAGCTGTTATAGCCGCAAAGGGTGGGCCAGCTCCATATTAAAGCCTATGTATTAAGAATGGGATGTCATTAAAGTTCATGTGTGTGTAAAGCCAGGTGTCCCAATACTTTTGGTAATATAGTGTACCATTGACTTATCCATTTATATTCTAAATCTGTAATTCCTGTGAGGGGCACCACTAACAATGGTACCTGGAGGGACTAACCAAAGACAGGCAGGCCCCCCAGTCTATCCATCACAGGGCAAGAAAAATAACCAAGCTGGAATCCAAATATCCGCTTTGAATCGCACTGACATAGTTGGGGGCGTCTGATAGGCACGCGGAGATCAACTGGTGATGAGACGGCAATCACAGGATTGATCCATACGGGGCTCTCGTATTTCCTACCACACCGCGGGCCGCCACAACACCTAATAAGCAGGGGCCACGCCACCCACCGTCTGATTGTTCTCCAGCAGCTCGTGGGCTCTGATTGGCCGGTCCAGGCTGGGCTTGCCCACGTAGATGTCGCTGTTGGGTTGGAAGGCGGCCAGCAGGGGGAGCAGCGCCTTGGGGTTCATGTAATTGTCGTCATCCACGTGGCACAGCCATCTGGGGGGGGGGCATGACATGGGGGGGGGTAAAGTACCTGATTCAAGGTCAGGGAGTGACTCTTCCTAAAAGCTGGTACCATAATAACTACAGAAAAGCAATTTTGATGTATATGCAGAATAATCCACCCATTTTCCGACACACATCCAGCCAGGACACTTACATTCACACATTCAATTACCTGGGGCATCTCACACCCTGGGGCTGGATTCATTTCACGCCGCCAGCAGTTTTAAATCAAAATCACATGGAGACCCCCCCCCTCTCCCCCAGGCAGATGTGACAGAGTGAGGCCTCATTAGGGGCAGGTGGATGTGCTGTCAATTAATGGAACGAAGGCAGAACAAAAAAAGCCTGACTGCTGGAGGGGGATTAAGTGGAAAACGCAAACCCTTTATCGGCTGCTTTTTCAATAATGCTGTTCGTGTTTATCAATTATCTTAAGCTTCACCTGCAAAACAAAAGCTAATACAATTTTGATAACAAAACATAATAAGTAAACATAAAGCCGCCTCAGATCAGCCCAGAGTCGGACGGCCACAGTCCCGAGTGACGAAGCACATTCACGCAGGGCCGGTGGCGAAAGGGCGTGATGACGGCAGGCTACCAGAGGGTGGCGACGGTGAGACTCACTTTTTGTCGGAGGCCATGAAAGTGTCGTACTCTGCGGACATCTTGCAGGACAGCGCCTGGTGACTGTGCTCGGGGGAGCAGTTGGTGATGATGATGTTAAACCCTGCATGCAGGGAAAATGGGTGGGGGGTTAACATTCAATGCTTCAGGGCAGACAGCAGGTGGCGCAGCAGTTAACAAGAAACTGGCCTTTGGAAAATAAAATTAAGATGAGAAACTACAACTAAGATGTGACTTTTGATGCCTTGGTGTTGAGGGGGGTTAGGGTTAGGGTTAGGGTTAGGTTTAGGGTTCAGGTCTCCGCAGCAGCGGAGAGGACAAGCAGATTCATCAGTTTTGGGAGAAGGACAGCGAGAGTGTCATGGGTGTGATTGAGAAAAGCAGCCCTCTCATCTGCCCCCCTGTATCAGTCTCTGAGTGTGCCAGACACACAGCAGAAGGTTCACCTGAACAGAGACGGTGAGGTCAGCTTAAATACACTCACACCCACGCATTCACTCACAGTGACACGTCTCAGACCAGGGAGACAGAGGATGAAGGCACCCCAGTGCTTATGAATATTTAATTACTGGTGCCCTACCTTTCAAGCTGAACTCCTCATCCCGGGTGTCTGTGAAGATGTAGGTCTGCGGTAAGGTTAAAAAGAGAGCTGATCAACACTGGTGTCGCATTCAGCGTCCGGCAGGACCAGCTTGGCACATTCGCCAATGGCAGATACTGCTTTGCCCAGGTGCTCCCCCTGGTGGTCACCATAAGAACAGCAGAACGACCAGCATACTTCTGCTAAGCTCTTAGGCCACAGGTGTCAGACTCCAGTCCTGGGGGGCCGGAACCCTGCACATTTTTGGGTTTCCCCTTGTTTCACACACCTGATTCAACTTCTTGTGCTAATCACCACATAGCTGTTGAGCTGAATCATTTGTGGTGGAACAGGGAAAGAACTAAGTTACAGAGGGCTGCGGCCGCCCAGGACTGCAGTTTGACACCCCTGTCTTAGGCAGTTGTTATGTATGTAGATTCTACTCAACAGCTACGCAATCTAGGTGGCACTCATAGCCTCTAGTGGGTGGGGGCAGGGGAACGGGGGTGTTCTTGTGTGTCCTGGGAGGAGAATTTGCTTGACTGTCTGGATCGAACTCATTCGAATCGCAGCTAGAGAAACAATTTTTGTCAAAAGCTGAAAGGCACATTCCACCCTTCGCTGATCATATCAACCCAGTAAGCTGTGGTCCACTAAAGACTTCTTATAAAAACCTTTTATTAAGACCCACCAGGCACCAAGTCATCAGGTTGGCTGACTGACTTCCCAGAATTCCATGTTGCACCGATGAAGCCAATTTAATTCATACTTCACTCTCTGCCAGCACACAGGGCAAGTGACACATCTCGTCATCAGGGGTGGACTGGCAACAAAAAGCAGTCCAAGACTTTGTTTTCAAGCGACTGCAATTCCATACCCCCCCCCCCACAGTCGCCCTTGGTACATTTTGCCAGCAACTGGCCATCATTAGGCCGCCCCTTCGGGAAACTCCTGCACCTGTCATGTGCATCAGTGGCATCAACAGCACATGGGCAAGGGAATTAGCAAGGTGTTTCCCGTAGGTGGCAGCAGTGAGTGTCACAGAGCAAACGGCAACCAAAAAAGTGCTGGTGAAGAAGATCTGTTGTAGGAGGTGCGGAGGTCCGCATCTCTAACTTTAATTTGCCGGGATGTCTTCCAGCTAGTTTTGTTTTTGGGATCTGAAAATGTTGCGGTATGCTGTGTTACCGTAATGCCACCTAAACCTAAACTAGAACTGTTCATAAATAGTTTAACCCCTTTCACTACCATGTTTGTATTTGTGTTTGCTGCAATGTATCTGCCCCCTGCTGGTCTGGTGGAATATCATTGCGGTATGCTTGTACCGACCATGACCAAATGTAGTATGAAGATTAGATTCTGTGAGTACGACCATCCGCAGCCCGAAAGCGCCTAGGGAAAAGTGAAGTTTGAGCTAGGCTTTAGAGTCCTTACTGGCATTGTCACAAACATTTGCTTGGGGAGATGGAGGCTCACTAATCGATCACCAGTGAGGTCAGATTCATGGATTCATACATATTCCAGCAAAAATGATGGGAATTCTCCACAAGATCTTGCTGAGAAAAAAAAATCACCAATCAGCTCCAGGAAATTAGGGAGCAACCATCAAAATGCAAGCAACCTGTTACGACATCAAATGAAGTCACTGCAGAAAGACAAAGAGGATTGTGGGTAATGTAGTCCCACATACACCAAGCACCTCTTTGACACCTAAATTCATGCAAAAACTGGAATAAAATGCTGCCGTTGTGTAAAAATATAAATTTGGACCATGCACAATAAATATTCAGCATTATTTCTCGTCATACAGGGAAGAGCCACGTAACAAAATCAGCATATTTGTTACCCAAATGCATCAAACACTGGGACTAAAATCTAAACGTATCCAAAAGTGGTTTGAAAAGCAGGAACCCCCCCCCGCCGCCCCCCGATTCCAGCCCGTGCGTGGGTGTTGACCTTTCGCTTTGTCCCAGTAGGTTTCCCCTTTTCTGCACTGCTTCCGTTCTGTCATTGTGTGCGACGCTGAGCTCCTGGTGGCAACTTCCTCCTGCCTTCACACGAAAGCCTACGAGTGGGCGGGGGGGGGCTCAAACATTCACCCAGACATAGTGAAAAATAGTGAACCCAGGCCCCTTTACACTATCCTTCAGCACTAGAGCCACGTTGCTGTGCTCTCAGCTTGATGATATTAAGAACCAAGAGCAATTTGTGCAGATAACCCATGGCTCTGTGCTATAATCCTTGACTTGTGGGCTAAGCAAGGACCGTCCATTGAACTCAGAAGACCTTCATATCCAGACTAACCAAGTCCTACTTTATCACAGCCCAACTGCTGTGATAAGTTTAAAATGTTTAAGTAAGGGACTAAATCTACCGGCCCAACAAGACCTAAGATTCAGCTAGGTCCAAAATTAAGACAAGATGTGTCTATGAATAAGAGCTCAACAAAGGCATGGCCGATGGCAACCAAACTGGTAAATGGTCCATAAGACTCTTTGCAGACTCTGAGTCCGAGCAAGACTACAGAAAGAGAAACAGCTTGGTGAAAAAAAAACGCACACACACAACAGGAAGCCACCAATCTGATGCCCCAAATACACCTGCTGCTGTATCTAACATTCAGCCAGCTTGTGGCTTCACCCCCGCCCCCTGGTGTCCCGCTGAGGAGGCTGGGAAGAGGGCACCGTGACTGTCTGTCCCCCAGATAGGCCTGGCTCACACTTCTCTTTGGCCTGACGGCCAGTCCGTTCAGACGACTGCCAAGACGCCCGTAGCGTGGCCTTAGAATTCGGTACGATGACTCAGACTGGCTATTTTTCATCTCGACGGAGAGGCTGTCTCACGTAGCATCCTGTCACTTCAGAACGGGCCAGGAGATCATGCGGAATGTTACCGGGCAGTGGGCCCTACATCACGGACACGGAAGGCTGGGACCTGAGAAAGCACGTTACCTCAAAAGCAGAATGTACAACCCCCTTAAACATCGTAAAATTACCATTGTGCTACAACCAATACCAGAAGCAGGACCAAAAAAATCACGATACTCGTGTTCTTTGTACATATTAAATGCTAACTTATTCTTCTGCCCTTAACTAAATTTCTATATGAAACACCTCCCTCGACGAACAAGTTTCATTTTCATTAGATATACTTGTACACGAGCAGATGTCCTGTTCAATATTTATTTCAGACATAAGAGGCCTTGCTTTACTCAGTTTGTGTTCATATTCTTTTAATGTCACTTAAGGCATGTAAAACTTGCGCTGACTTTGGACTGAGCCAAATAACCGTATTTTTAATGTTTGATACAGATGTGACCATGATCCTGGATATTTTGAAGTTTGTGTATAATTAAAGTTCATTTCCAAGGGAGTAACTGTAGGCTACTCACGTGCTCCTTGGTCTTGGAAATCCAGGTGTCCAACAGCAGAGCCAGGCGAGTGCGGTGAAATCTGCCGGTGGTCTTCACTGCGATGAAGATGTCTTTGAGCTCTAGGTTTGAGCTGGCAGAATCCAAGCTGTTCTTACGTCGGGCCTGGGGGGGCTTGTCCCAGCCCTGTTGACCCCACCGCAGACCCGGTATCCCCTCCGGGTGGGGCTCCGCGTTCCGCAGGGGATGCGCGAAGCCGCCTTGGAGAGACGCACCATAGGGCCTCGGGGGTTTCCGTGTCCGCAGTTGTAAGTCCAAGAGCAGGATTATAAAAAAGGTCAATATGGCTCCGGAAAGGGCACGGAAAGCATTCTTAATAAACATCCCGAATGAAACAACCGCGGGCGATCAATTTAATCAACTATCAGCCGCGTCCTTTAGAGAGAAACACGCCGCCTCTGCTGAGGATTCAGCGCGACGGCGAGCGCAACAAACAACTGCCTCGAAAAACAGGAAATACGAAGAAAACGATAAATTCGCATTATAGATAACGGATCTCGGGGTTTCAGAAGCCATGCTGGCGCACACTCCACTGGCAACTTAATTGCCAGGTGCGATTGTCTGTTTTGGATAATGTGCGTTAAAGTGTGTTTTAGAGATTATAATGAATGTGTAAGGAAACCATGCACCGACTGTAAACCGTAAGCGCATAATCGGATTATTCGTATACTATTCAGTACATATAACTGGACCAGTTTCTTTTATTTGTCAGTGCAATGAGACAGGCGATGGTGGCGACTTTTAATTTCGACTCACAATTTCCAGTTTCCATTCTTTAGAAATTGATTAGTTTTACAGCCGCTGTAATATAGGCTATGTAAATTATCCTGCACCATACATTATTATATGTCTATGAGCTGCTATTCTGCCTCCTCCAGCAATAATTAAGGCGCTTTGCCTGTTACCGGATCCTGGCCAGTCGAAACGGTGACAGACCGTCCTACCTGTCACTTGTGCCGCGCAGCCGGTATGGGGAAGGAGGCGGCGGCTCTGGATGGAGCGGGCTGGCGAGCACTCCGCCCCCCCCCCCCCCCCGCCGCTGACAGCGCCGGACGGAGCCGCAAAGCCGGGGGCTGCCGGGTCTCTGACAGGTGGACACGTCCGGTCGAGCATCGGTTATGCGATGCCCTCACAAAATCACGGAACATTTCCAACGCTGCCAAATGTTCATGAACACTTTCCACTAATTGTATTATATAACTACAGAATAGCTCTATATACATATCCTGACATAAATAAGATACGAGACCCTATAGGTAGGAAAAATAAAACTTTTTTGAATTTGAAAGTCAAGCCGTACGTTAGTGCTTTGCTTTATAAAAGAGGATTCTTTGTATCCACCTGTATGTTCTCCTAAGCTGCGTTCTTCACAGAGGCGGACCATTCATACCGGACAGGTTGCTCCAAACCGTGGGAAAGGCTCAGGGAATAACTCCGTGACAAGAAATATATTAGAAATTATGCACTTTATGCATACCATTATAATTCCTGTAGAGTTTTATTTTCTTCTAAGCTATGTCAGTAAAAAGTACCTGTTCTGTGTAATTTGGGAGTTTGTATGCTGTATAAACAGTTTTGGACCAAGACGTTTACTAGGCAACTAAAATAATGTTATGATTGTTCTCCAGCTCTCATCTTTCATTCTTTTAAATAACTTTTCCAAGCGCCGCAGTTTATAACGTGATTTTTTTTTTGGCAATAAATTCAGCGAGGCAAACGGAATTTATCGGGAACACTATTACTCAATGTCATTCGCACCCAGATAAATGTTAAACTCAAAAGGTGAACTTTTTGGGTGTATGGAATTAAAATTGCAAATCTGCTGCTGTTTATTCAGTATGAGGCTGTATTCATTCATGATGTAAAGCTTTTCATTAATATATTTGAATACATGCATAAATACATAATGTGCATGATGAATGCAAGCTGATGTTTTGCTGAAGAAACACTCTGCAGCTAAACTGAGACTTTTCCTGCATTCCTCAGTCTTCTCTGGTTTGAGGAGGCTTACAATTAACGGGACAAAACGCCACCTTCATTAAGACATTTATTTATTTATTTTCCGTTCTCAGACGTCTCAGGTTACTGCCATTCTTCTGCGAGTCCCAGTTACCAGCTGCTTCCCTTTTTTTCTCCATTACCCACATCCCCCAGTTCGGTCCCTCAGGAATAACAGAGAAGCCTGGGCACACCCTACGTAGGAAAGGCCCTGGATCGGTTTACGGCCTACCTGAAAAGATCCTTTTAAAGGCCCAAGCACACTGCCCCCTACTTCAAACAATACCTTAGAGGAGCAGACTTTTTCAGGCTTTGCCCTGGAACCCAATCTGTGTCGCTAATAAAATTTGACCAGCTTCATGGTTCCCCATTCTGGCTTCAGCACATTCATATCCAAACATGTGGGGCTGCAGTTTCGTGACAGCCGCCAGGGTCACCATTGAGAGCACATTTGGCTTAGGTTCCATAATGAGTGGTGGCCAAAGAGTCCCATCCGAGTCAGAATCCGCTGGGCCAAGAAACTTCTTTTCATCCTTATCAGGGATCTGAAACACCTCACATCTCTAAATCTCTCCTTACCTGAGCACTGTTCACAAAATCGGCTTAGAGGAGCTGTTGAAATATGAAGCAGACAAACTCGCAAAGCCAGCCAACACCATTGATATACTGCTGACAGATTGTTGGACCATATAGGTTTGGTGGTTCCACTTCATTGGATATACATTTCTATCCAATCAGAGATCAGCAAACAGTGGTAATGGCCAATCACTTATCACCTCAAGGAACTCTGTGACCAGGAAAGTCGATTTCAGAAGTAAACTTCCACCAGGAACTTGGACTTCCTAAGATCTTAAAAGTGTTGTAATTCCCTGCTTTCAGAATTCGGCATTGGTTTATCCATCCATCCATCCATCCATCCATCCATCCATCCACTTTGGAAATGCAAGAAATACAGAATCAGGGGAGGTCAGGTGCCTATAGCATAAAGTCAAGGGATGAACACACTCCACAAGGGATGCAAGTCCATCACAGAGTGCACACACAATAGGGGTAGTTCTGCAAAACCAGAGTACGTTAAGCAAACTGGGAAGAATCAAAACAGACATTGACATAAAGCCAGGGAAAGAATTACACCCACATTTATTCAGAAGCCGCTTCTGTAAGGAATGCACCTGTTCAGTTGACTGTATAACAGCTAATAGTGTATCTGTCTGGCGGAATGTCATACATATATTTACAGAGAGTCCATTAATGGTTATATAGATATTTTAGTCTTCTGCCTTTTTGTTTTGATGCCAGGCATGCTGTTAGCAATACATGCCGTGTTTTATCTGTAAATAATCCCTGAAATTCTAGAAAATATTTGACATGTTTTATGTACACAAAAAGAGAGGACTATAAGTACTGGTTGAATTATTATTATGGCATAAACAGAGACAGCCGCAGAGGCAACATAAGGTATTATTAGATCATAAATATTCCTCAGGGTCTAATGCAACTCCCGACCGATATCTGTGATCTCTGAAAACATTGTGCACTCGATGACAGCCAAACTTAAGCTATATCCGGAAGTCACACTGAAAGGAGTCGTCGGAGGAGCGCTGAATTGCGAGAGACCACACACGCTGCGCCGTGCTGAAACCAGAGGACCTCGTGACCTGCTTCGCCTTCCTCTGCGACATCCCGCCGATTACAAAACATTAGCAACGTTGCGTGACGTAGCCCAATGAAACAGCTTAGCTCCGAGAGTCACGTAAACACATGAAAACGACACTTGATAGCATATCTGCATTTGACTGACCTACCCTACAGCAGACAGCTTAGCGTTCGTTAGGTTCTCGAGTTCACGTCACCTCAAAGGTAAGCGCGACACACATTTTCCTTCAGAAAAACGTCTGCCATTATTGTCACCTCTTTTCAAACCTAACAAATGCAGTCCATTATTTCGCACACAATAAAAGCATAATCAAAAAAGCACTACAAAATGGTAACAGAATATTTACACGAATACATACAGTTTCAAACTTGGGGTTTGAGTCCCTCCCCCCCTCCTATAAAGGTGAATTGGAGCTGCTGAATTGCCTGTAGGTGTGAATGCGAGTGCTCTGAGATGAACGTCACATTCATTAACAAATTGTTAGTCACTTTTAATTAAGACCGGTTTAATCCCCTTTTCACTAAACTAGTGGCTCTGGAGTTAAGAAACTTATAGTGGCAGCCATGTTACACATTGAAATGGATTTCAACCTAATCTGTTGATTACATATAATGACATACTCATATATAATATGATTGTATATAAGCAAAGGTGTAGGTTTGATTTCAGCGTCGTTAGGGACCAAATCAGCCCCTCATCCCTGTTCCTGTAAACCACATGGTACTCTCACAATATTGGTAAGGACACGTCCCTACCATCCGCACCCAAATGTACATCCTTGTATATAAGGTGCACTTCTGTGAATGTTTCATGCTGAAATGCCCAGTGGTTTAAGGGCTGTGCATATCATGTTATTTTGTGACTATGATTTTTATCACATTTGCTCAGGTGAAAAGGAAAACATTTTCGATTAAGCTGTTGTGGTTTAGCATCGAATGACAGGGTCATGACAGATAGTTTTACAATGTGATGCAGAGGGATCTCAGTGAAGATAAGCTTGTGGCCAGGGCAGCAGGATCTGCGAATTCAGACTTTCTAAATGGCTTGCATTTACCTGAGGTGGATAAACATTTTAGTAGGAGCCTTCAATCGATAGGACAGAACGTTCCGGAGATATGGTATTTGGCCCGAATTCATTAGACTCTTGATTAATTTTCTAGTATTTTACAAGAGGTCTGTACAAGGAACGATTTAAGTAAAGGCGAACAGACACTGAAAAAGAGGTTACTGCGAAATTACATTTTAATTTGTTCAACTTGTTTAACACAGCCGTCCTGCAAATTTTATGCATTAGTGTTTCTGGCTGGGGATTTTTGCTGAGTCTAAATTCAAAATGGCAACCATGTCATTCATCACATTAGTGTTTGTCTCAAAACACGGTGGAAAAATGGACTGATATGGTTCCTGTAGAAAATTCATCTAGCTGGGGGGCAAGGGCGTCTGAACATTTCATTTTTTAAATGATTATCTCAAGGGCCACTTTGAGATGATTTGAGGTTTTTTAGTTATATGGACAGCTAGCCTGCCAAGTGTCATCAGATACATGCCGTTGGCTTAGGGAATGCTAAAATGCTAAAAAAAAGATAAACCTGATTTTAATTAATCATTCAAAAAGTTAAGTTTTATGGTTATATTGCATGATTACCATAATACATGCCATATTATTCCCACAGTTAATTGAAGGAGACAAAAGGTTTGGTGGGTGTGTATGTGTATGTTTGTAGTAGTGTGTTTGCATGCTTTCATTCACTCGTTCAGCCTCAGCCAGGCCATTGTGACGCGTCATTTGGTTAATTGTAGAATGTGTATCTTAAAAATTGCTTGCTCAGAGGCAAACTTTGTTCTCTCTGAAAAGGTTTTATAAAAAATGTCAAGTGAAACTAGCTAATAGCAGATCAAGTTTCAAAAGCCACTTCTGCAGCTGATGGTCACGGTGATTTCACAAACGACTTGCCTCCTGTGCAAATTGAAACGCTTTTCCATATATGACTGATACATTGTTTTATGAGCTTTGTTTTATTCTAGCTGGAGCTGCGGGAAGCTGCCGCTTGTCTGCTTTCCGGTCTGCTGATTACTAAACCCCAAAGTCACAAAACGATACGCATTGAGAGCCTCAACAGACAGGCAATTAAATCTGAATTAATTCATATCTGGAATTTCATTGAAATAAAACGATAATGAAACTTCTTGCCAGAAGTAGCGCAATAACTTTCAGGAAACAAAATGCATTGCTGCTCAGTTGCAGCAGGCAGTGTTATTGTTCTAGAATTTCTGTAAAGCGTCTCCATTTTGTTATTCTCTGTATGTGCTGAATCTGCTAGCAGTCAGTGTGTTTCCTTTGTATGTGTGACACATAAGCATGGAGAAGGTGTGTTTGGACACTCTGCCTGTGATTGGAAGGTCCCAGGGTCAGCAGCACAACTCTCCAGAGCGAGACCTTTATCCTCCTTTTGTTCCAGGGACTGTCTATCCCTGCTTGTTCAAAAATGCACAAAAGCACCAGCTAAGTGAATGAAATCCAGATATTTCCATTGTATGTTGTGTGTACCTTCCTGGATGGTCCATGTTTTTACCAGAAACGCTACAGCAGACGTGTCACACATATTGGCTACTCGCTGAAGGAAAGGCAGATTCTGAGGAGATATCTCAGTATGGTATGTTTCACAAGAGCCAAATTGTAATGCATAAATGTTTCATGGAATTAATTAAGCATTTAAAACACCCATCAGTCCAACTTCTAAGCACTAATACAACACCGGGAAAAGACAGACTTTAAAAAAAACTTTACTATGAATGAAGTTGTACCTGAAAATCATTCCCAACGTAACCCGAGACGATGATAGTAAACACGTATTTCATACATTGAAGATGATCCTTAAAGTCTTAGTGCCTTTAAAAGCCACTTTAGCTCTAAAATCTGAACACGATCATTTTCTGGCCTGGTAAATTATCGACATAGTGTGTCAGTGCAATCAGCGTGATTTCTATGCCGTCAAAGGAGGAGGAAATTCGGGGGGGGGGGCTCTCATCCGTGGCGACTGCCTGCCAGGACTCGGACTTCCTGCACAAGCCGCCCTGCTCAAATCTCTGCAGCCCAGTCGCTCCCAATTACCCCCCTATCATCACACCCAGGGTGTCTGGCCTATAAAAACGCTATCATCTGCTGACTGATAAGCAGGCTGCTCTCCAGGCAAATCTTCATTCATTGAAGTAGTGACTCATTTTTAATACTCATCTGTAAGCGAGTAAAGGCTGGACTACTTTGTTCACTGGACTTAAGCATTAGAAGCACTTAAAAGTCATATCATTTTGGACCTAAGTGACATGGTGGTGCAGTGGTTAGCACTGCAGCCTCACACCTCTGGGACCAGCCTTTGAGTCTCCACCATAGCTCCATGTGAGGAGTCTGCATGTTCGCCTTGAGTTGCTGTGGGGTCTCCTCCAGTTTCCCCCTGTAGTCCAAGGACATGCTATTGTGAAATAGAGCTACAAAATTACCTGTAGTTGTGAATGGCATGTTTGTCCTGTGAAAAGTTGGTGTTCCCTCTCTTGTGCCTGTACCCTTTGGGAGAGGTTCATGACCCTGAATAGGGTAAGTGGTTATAGAAGATGGTTGGGTTTTGGACCTTTTGTAAAAGTGTGGGCATTAAAATATAGCTCACCTCACTGTCACCAACTGCTGTCTTTAGATCAGTATCAGAAATAGTCGTACCTTAACCATATATTATATATAGGACGGCATGCTGGCTCAGTAGAGAGGACTCACACCTTCCCAGATAGGGGTTTGCATCTCAACCCAGCTCTGTGCGTATGCAGAGTTTGCAAATTCTCACGATGTTGTAGAGGTTTTCCTCTCACAGGCCAAAGGCATACAGGACAGGCCTGATATCCTGCTTTGATGTTTCTTGAAGTCCCGGTGGGGTGGTGGGGGGGGGTGTTAAGTTGATGATTCAGGATTTTACAGTATCACTAGCCACTTAACTTACTAATCAACAACTTCACATTGTTCTGACATCAGTTATTAGTATTTGCTCACAGAGTCAATGTTTTTATCCAGAACAGTAACTTTTTAAAATAGTTTGAAATATTTACAGCGGGCAAAAGTATGTTAAGTACTTTGCTCGAGGGTATAGCTTCCTCGAGCGCCTACAACCAACAGTTTTTAGGCTGGTTAAATTAATAATATTAAATAATAAAGCTTGAAACTAATGGGATGAAATGGAATTAAATAGACTCTTTAACAGACCCAAACCAAGACTGTGTTTGGTTTGGGGTTCAAAAACACAAGACACATTCACCAGTGGCCAGTACTACGAAGCGGGGTTACTGGCTTATCGGGGTAACTTGTCGGATTTAAGGTACCACAGTTTAAATGGACTTCATATTCGCTCACTTACATTTTGCCCAGACTACCTTAAATCCGACAAGTTACCCCGATAAGCCAGTAACCCCGCTTCGTTGTACAGGCCCCAGGACTTGAACAGATCCTTCACAGAATTCAGTGTTGTTGTGCACGGTTGGATACAGATGCCTTACAGAATTCAGCGTTACTATACAGGCTCTGATACAGATACGTTATGGAATTCAGTGTTACAGTAGAGGAGTCTGATTCAAATCCTTCACAGAATGCAGTCTTATTGTATAGGGGTTGATATGGATCCTTTATAGATCAGCGTTACTGTATAGGAAATGGTGTAGCCTTCACAGGACAAAGTCTCATTGTACAGGGTAAGGTACAGAGGTACAGTTTCAACAGAATTCAGAGCTTTGAAGGAAATGATCACAATACAGCATAATTTGGGTATTCCCTAGCTGAAACAGTAGCACTCTTTAAGAATATGATAACTGCCCTTTGTACTCCAACAACAACAAGGACTAATCTTACACAGCAATGGCAGCTGTTATTAAGAAGGATACGAAATAAAAAATAAAAATGTATGTCACTGAGACTCGACGGAGTAAAAAAAATGCAGCAACGGCATGTGCTGACTATGGTGACAGAATTCAATTTATGTGAAGACTTTTTCTGTAGGATTTGAATTTTACAATTCATTTAGAAAAGCCAGGCCCGAATCAGGAGCGCGGTCCCTTGTCACAGTGAAACCAGACACATGACAGAACAAGCCGAGATGTCAACATCATGCATACCTTCACGACAGCTATTGGCTCTCAGTGTCCAACCTGAGACATCTGCTCAGTTTTCTGAGGTGTGTTAAATACTGTAGTCAGTAATGTATGGTTCTGGATGCCTGTTTCAGTGAAATGAGAACGAATTGAGATGCAGATGTTTGCCATTAGTTCATAACCTTGTCACTCACCTTCCTTCCCGACCTTTTTTCTTCCAGGATGATGTCATGGACAAGCTGCTCGGTATTCCTGCGTGATGGTCAGAGCGCCCTCCTCAGGCTACTTCCCGCACCTGACCTCCTCACCCCAAACAAAGAGGTAACCATGGTAATAAGCCAGTATCCAATTCTGTAACTCACTATATGATTTTTTTAGTTAATTTGGAAAAAACCCACAGAAAACATCCATCAAACCAATGAGATCATGAGAACTGGATATTCTGGCACCATATATGACTGCGTGTGGATATAGGAGTATATGGGGCCTGTCTGCTTTAAAATGAACTTTGCATGATGTTCAGTCATTTTTAACATTACCAGGCCGGTCAGCGATGGTGGAACTAACAAGATTTGCCAGTGTCAGAGAGTACGAGAGCAGAGAAAATCGTGTTCCCTGCCTCATGTTTGGAAGAATGAGTTAAGGAGGTCCGCCGTTCACTTTATGGAAACGGTGTCCTGGCCGCAGGGTAATGCTGAATTAGTTTTTACTGTAGACGAGCGGAGACCAAAGAAGGCGCCGCAATGGGGTTTTCTGTTCAGTAAGTGAGCGAGAATCCGTGGTGTCTCTCTGTGAACAGACCGGCCATGTGACCTGAATCCTCGTCCTGCTGTAGGAGAGACAGGGATCTGTGCTGCCAGACAGCAGGGTTTACAGAGAAACTGAGCTGGGAAAACAGTGGTGATGAATCAGTGTTCATCTTCCCCGTTTTTACAGGTAAGCTCTTTCAGGCAGCTTTACGGTAATTAACAGCGATTCTTCCAGAACTGAAAACTGGAAAAACAAATTACAAAATGGTGGGAAAACTTGAAAAATGACCCTTACAAAGAGGGAAGTCAAGTAGTACTCCTGAAAAATACCGCCCATCTCTGTATGAGTGGCTAATAAAAATGTCCACAAGAAACCTTATCACAGAAGACAGCACGTGGGGGTCAGCAATCTGAGTCATGTGATCCAGCTTCTGGGAGCCAGGAAAGAGGATGAGAGGGTGATGCAGACGACTGTGTCGGTGCACTGGAGCTGCCAACACTTGGACCATTCTTTGGATGCAGGGTGGCTGTTGGGGTCCAGGTGATGATCTATTAGCTCAGGGCCAGATGGTCCCAAGCAGGAGATTAAATGGAAAGGAGAAAACAGAGGCAACATATCTTGTTTATAAATAGCCATAAAATGTTATAGAAACAGAAAAAAAGTACAGAATAGCTCCAGTGAGTTACGGCCAAACAGTGAGATATGTGACAAAGATGTGAAGGAAAATATACGCGAGACCTGAGGCAATCAGAACCAAATCCCAGCAACAGGAACTACCCTTATTTTACATTTATCAGCGATTGGCCTCTAGTTCTCATTGTATTTCTATTCTCGAACAATCATAATGTGCAAATTATTTTTACATTACTTTCTACATAATACTAAGAACGGCTGGCATTTCTGATTGAGTTCGTGAGAAGGTGACATCAGGACATGGGCTTTCAGCGTGGAACACGAACGTCCTATACTGTTTTACTCATGACTGAAATGCAGCGCTCAAAAGAGGGAGAGGTAGGACCCGTATCATGTTTTGGGTTAGGGATGCTCCAAATTTTAAATTTAAATGCTGGAGGGATATTATGACATCTGGATGTAATGTTTTCTTCTTAATGTTTTCTACCATCTTATCCAGGGTGTGCCCCGTGCCACCTGATAACCACTTTAATCTAGACGAGCAGTTAGAAGATGGATGAACAAATAAAGGAAAATTATCTTAGAAATTTTCTGGTTTTCTAGCAGCACAATCCCAAGTGTGGATATTAAGTGCCCTCTTCAGGGCTTGCACGGTAATGCAGCTATCAGGCCAATGTTCAAACTATTCTCCAGGTTTATCTCAAAAAACACAGCCAGCAAATCTCATTCAGTCACCTGTCGTGACTCGCTGTCGTGACTCGCTCCAGCTTGAGTTTTTCCTTGCTCTTGAAAAGGGTAGCATCATTTTTGTCACTTCTGGAGTTACATGGGACTATAGTATTTAACTCATCACTCCGCTTGCCAGAATACACGTTTTTTTCATGGGATTTTTGAAAACGTGTTAGGCCTTGATTGAGAATAGTGTAATATCTTAACTCCAGGTTATAAATAAATGGCATAGAGGAGAAAGTAGGATCAGCCAGTCCCTACGGCAATTGGGGTTAAGGGCCTTGCTGAAGAGCCCAATGCGGTATCACTCTGCTGACTCTGGGATATGAACCAACAACCGTCTGAGTCCCAACCCACAGAGCTGCCCCCCGCTCCAAATTATATTTTATTACTTTTCTGGTCAGTGCATAATTCCATATATGTCATTTTAGAGTTTTGATGTTTTTATAATTACTCTAAAATGTAGACAATAGTAGAAATAAACCTTTCTATGGGTAAGTGTGTCCAAACTTTTGACTGGCACAGTATGACAACATTTATCAGTCTTTAAACTGTGGGGTTATGGGATGGCTGCAAAATATATTTTATTTATACTTAGTTATATTTATATATACATATTTAGGGGGTAAATTACTACATTATTGAGTGAGCGCAATTATACTATGATATTGCGTGCGGTGCATTGCAGGCCTAATGTCTGAATGTTACGTATATGAAGGAATGAAGTTTGTTTGGGTCATATTAGGACTATGATTTTATAATCGTGCTTTATGAATAGGAATAAAGTAAATATTTTAAGTCCCATGTTTCTTTCAGAGTCCAAGCCCTTGCAGGCCCTTTCAAAGTAAGACTCAGCTAACAAACCAAAGCTACTCGAGGTTGTTATCCTTTGGTCATCCGTGTTCTTAGCTGCTGACGCGGGTGTTGATGTTGGTCCTGCTGGTGTTATTGACACTGCAAGGCCTAGACCATCTTAGCCACAGGTAATGCATCCGATTCGATTTCAAGTGAACATCGAGTTCTTGGGGTTTCATCAACTCGAGAGAGACAAATTCGGCGAGTTCAAATGCAGAAAACGGCAAGCTGCGATCTGCCCGGAGATGGAGAGAGACTCGCGGTGCTGTCCTTTGCTTTTATAGCCTATATGTATGCGTATCTGGCAAGCACTGAAAGTCATTTTTTAATTTGGCAGTTTTTGCTTTTACAGCTATCAGTGCAGCAGGCCTGTGAAACTCCTGCAATTTGGTTCTATCTGAGAAATGGTTAGCCTTGGGAGGATGGGGCTCTGACTGCAGTGTGGGAAGGGAAAAGTGTTCCTGATGTGTGTAGTTTTGGAGGTCAGAGATCTGCCAGAGGGGTCTCAAAAAGGCAGTGAACCAGACGGGAAACATGAGAGATGATAATGACCACCCTCACTTCAAGAGCTGATGGCGGGTCCTATCCCATAATTTTTAATGCCTTATATACACTCACCTAAAGGGTTATTAGGAACACCTGTTCAATTTCTCATTAATGCAATTATCTAATCAACCAATCACATGGCAGTTGCTTCAATGCATTTAGGGGTGTGGTCCTG